ATAGCACCCTCGGCCCTTTGTATCCATTGTGCTTAGCCAGGGCTGGGGGGCTGTGTGTTCTGGGGATGAAAGTGGGTGGAGGGAGGTTGGGGCGATTGTTGGTTGAGCGCTGTGGTGCCATTGCAGGGCCGGGGCCTGTACATCTTCAACACAGACAGCAGCACAGATCAAAGGCAGCACTGTTCCCTCTCTCTAAATCACACAAGCCTTTGAAAACTTCCCACATCATTTGCACAAAGGGATGATATGCCTCTGCTATGCTAGAAGACCACTGACTATAGTGTCAGAAAACCAAACACCAACACTTTATAGCATCCACAGTGCAAAAATTATCCCAAGTTTCCTTTTCACTGAAGTTGCTTTGCAAAACTGTAGCTTTGCTATATGCACCTTTCAATGGGCTCTATGCATGTCCTGCGCAGTGCCGTGGGTAGATTAGCTGTCTGGTGTATATAAAATGAGGTCACCTTCTCCCTCAACTCCAGACAGACATGGCTGTCTGAGTGCTGTCTGCCTTTCTCGACAGATAGGTTTGTCACCATGCACTACTTGACCTTTTAGAGCTTTGGTGATAACACTCCTTCAGGCCAAAATCAATTATGGGAGGCTAACATGATAGCAAATAAAGGAAGCGTGTGATCCTAGCATGATCCTATTGATGGATACAGATTCTAAGGCTCTCTGGTCCGTGTCACTGAATTTCTGCTGATAATTTCATCAGACAAGCTAATGGAGAGTCCGACAGCCTCGTTTTGATTTTCCTCACAGGACAGTGTAGCATAAACACTCTAATTCTCTTCCTTGGCAGCAATTCATAAACAGTTATCCTGAAGTGAATGAGGATTAGAATTCAATTAGAAAGTAGGGCAGTGGTGTTTACAACAACTTTTTGTAATAGAGAGATTAAAACATATTGTTGTGATCTGCCTTGTGTTAATTTCATGCAGGTCCAAAACAAAATAAAGAAATATTTGCAACATCTTAATCTTGAATATTTCTTAATCCTCTTCAGATGTGTGCATGACAACTACATGGGGAGACTTAAATGACAGTGGGTGGTTTGTTGATTTGTTGATTGTTCAAACTTTTCTTTTGCCTCCAAGCTCTGGCGGAAAAAATATCATAGAACATCTTTTGTCCAAGAAAACAAAATTTCAGCTTTAGCCTGAATCATTTTTTTGTTTAAACACACCACGAGTCTGTCGCCATACTCAGTGATGTATGAGGGTACTACTAACATTGGAGGAATCATCCTACTTTTAGAAGGTAACATTTAGCAATTTTCCCATTTTAGTTTAACATGTAAGCATCTTTGCTAATTAGCACTAAACTGAATCTGAAAGCTGATAATGAATACAATCACTTTGCATCGATGTGCTCAAAAAGTGAGTATTGAACAATGTTTGACCTGTAGAATAGAATAGAATTAGAATAGAATTCAACTTTATTGTCATTGCACATGCACAGGTACAGGGCAACGAAATGCAGTTTGCATCCATCCAGAAGTGCTTTAGTGATATAGATATATTAACAATATATATTAGCAATAATATAGATATGTGAGTATATTACAGAAATGGGTCTATTACGGTATGTTATAATGTACACGGTATGAAGTATGTTGTGAATATGGCAACAAATAAAAAAGTTGACAGCCTGAAAAATGGCAGCATAAAGTTTGGGATGTTCATTCTCCTCTGGGCTACTGCAATTCAATAGCCCACACCATAGCTCAAATTTGATCATGGTTTTACTAAAGCCAAGGTCCCAACTGCAAGAAGAGTGAGAAAAGAGCTAAATTAATCTGAACATGGTACTGTAATAGGATGTCACTGTTGCAACAAGTCAATTTGCGAAATGTCCTTATTCCACAATGAGCCATAAGTGTATTGTAATTTATTATTATAGATTAGTAACTTCAGCAAAAATACTTTGCACTGAGAGCTTCATAGAATAGGTCTGAAGGACCTAGTCGTCTTGGATTGGCAATGCAAGAGTCTATGTCCAAACCTGAGAAGGTGTGGTTATAGGTGTTTTGGGGGCACTTTAGGAGGCACACCACTCTTTGCTGCTGGAGTTCTCAAAAAGTTTAAGTGGACTTGCCAAAGCATACGTGGAGGCAGCAGTACATGGGGATCGAACGGAAAGTTGCTACTGTAAACAAATGCTAGAGCAGCAGAGGTAAATCAAGACCAGGAAAACCTGGACATCAACCATTCTGACAGCTCAACTCCAGACTCCAGAAATATTGAACAAGTGCTTCAGAAAGTTCTAGATGAGCATGACAAGAAACTAGACAAGACAGGAGAAACGGCTTTAGCACAGAAGAAGCTAGTTGAGAGAGAGTTGGGAGTCAACTGGAACCTGGATCAACAATGAGATGAAATTTTCCATATAGGGAAATCCTTCAATCCCGCTTATGTTTATCTCAAAAAGTACCATCTCAAATTGGGGATATTTATGAAGTCATTTCAACATTTTTCACAAATTTCTTGTTCAATAATAGCGGATAGCTGGTTCTGGGTTAGCGTTCATATATTCAATACACTGTGATGGTAATAAAACAATAACATAATGACAACCTACTGCAAATTTCCAAAGATTTTTTCTGTGGGCATCACAAATGTTTGTTGTTAACATCATGGCAATTCATCTAATAGTTCTTGAGTCATTTTGCAAATAACAAAAAGTCGATCTCATGTTGCGTGAGATGAAAGGTCTTCACAAATAAATAAATAAATGATGTTCTGCGGACCATGAACACATGGACTAAGTTCCACAAATTCCAAACAGTCACTGGGATTTCAGTTTAACATGTGAAAAGGCAAACAACATACATACTATACGGACGAGCCTTGGCTTCAAATTTATTGTGGAAAACGTGCTATATTTCCAAATGATTGTATGATGCATTTGAGTCAATTAGTTTGTGTTCAGGGCAACATAAAAGAAACTTGAGAGCACTGAGCATCAGAGTGTTTCATTTGTAACAGGTCATGAAGTGCTGTGAGGATATGTTTAAATAAACCATCGCTTCTGTTTATTTGCTGCCCACTGAGCAGCCTGTGTTAAAAAGCTGACAACAGTGATAAAGGCATAAACGAGCGCGCACTGCCCACTGATGCTGAGACCCAGTCTGTGCCGAGGTGAGCGCCCTGTGGTGGGGTGCTATCAAGATCAGTGGCTTACTGCGCTCATTAGGTGTCTACTTGCATGTGATTTCATTCATCAGAGCAGGTCCACTTTTTTCTTTCCTGACATCCACTTGAAATAATTATGCATTGTGTCTGGCCTCGGGGTTGTGAATCTGAACCTTGAGTCAATGATCCATGCACCATCGTAATCCATCATACAGCTTTTGGACTGCATGCGAGTATGTGTGTGTGTGTGCGTTCGGGAGCTGAACAAGGAGGAAGCAGAGATAAAGAAATAATAATTCCTCATCCTTCGTGCCACATCGTTATTTGAATGGAGAGCATCTCACGACACAGACACGGTAACACCTGGCACAGAAAGGCTGGGCAAAGGCAGCTGCCAAGGACTTAGGTGCTGAGCAGGCACTGATCAACGTCCCCTTCTATCCTCAAATGCCTGCATAGAAATTGTTCTGGCATTTAAGCATTTACGATAACGCCAGCAGGAAAATTCCTGGTGGCAAAATGACATTTCAAAGTGATGTAAACAGGTAAACAGCAGTATTCAGTTGTGCCAAATTAACCCCTTGGTTCACAAACAGTCAGGGTAGGGGGATGTCTGAGAGTGAGAGCCAATTCGCTGTTCTCCAAATTAGGCTAACCTCTGGGGAGGGGAGGGTCTCACTCTCCCTCCTTCTCTCTTACTAACAGAGCAATATATTACCTTTTTGGTGTGAGTGACTGACAAGTTTATTTTACCCTTTTACACTTTTCCCACATTCTCTTCATTAACTCTTCGTGAGACCAAATTTGCAGCAAGCCCTTTAAAAAAATGAACACTAGCACGGACTGTTAACAAATTGTAACTATGGGCAAATACAAGCACAGGCAAATGTAGACAAAGCATTTCTCTCTCTGCACGTCTTGCTATATCAATAATACATGAGACCGCCTCCTTCTCTGTGATTAAAGGTGATGTATCCAAGCACCACAGGTGCGGCATCACCAAACTGTGCATTCAAATTCTAGTTAGTAAAACATGTGTACAGTCTGAAAGGGTTTCTTCAAAGAAGTGATTATGCCTGGGAGTGAAAACATGAGAGGATGCTGTGGGAAAGTCAGCAAAATTGAAATGTGTAGGTTGGTCAGATCTTCAAAGACTGAAAATAAGCAGAAAAATAAGACTTCATGTCACCTGACCAGGGCGTTCTTAACAAAAAAAGCTCTAATTGCAACATTTTCCATCAGTTTGTAGCATGCAAATGAATGTGCATGTTGTGACTGCTGTCATTTTTAAGGAGACTGCAGCTGTCTTATTTCTACATCTTGCATTTCCTGCTCTTGCAGAGTCAGCCAGTATTGACAGAAACCCTCGCCAGGAATCTAATGTCCCCCAGACGCTGGCCAGGGCTGGGCAAAAGGCCACATCCAATCAGCACCACCACCAGACAATATCAAAGACCAGTGGGCGAAAGGAGATGGGATTGGATGGCAGTGGCATAGAAGGAGGGGGCGAAAGAAGACAGAATGAGAGGTTGAATCTCATTAGCTCGCTTTTAAAGATGAGTCACCGCACAGCAGATTACTGAACACCATCCAGGACATTGGAGTCATACAATGGGTACAAGTATCAAAATTACAGGGAAATTGAACAGAGAGATTGCGGGGGGTCCCACGAATGATGAAAAGCAATGACCACGAGCAAACATGGTGATGGGATGAGCCGGCTCAGATGGAAGGCGAGAGCAGAAGAGGTGTCACTTTTGAGAGAGATGCATGGAGGGAGATACATGATAGCGCAGGTTGGTGGTTGAAAAGGACAAGGAGTGGAGGGGGGTGGTCGGCCAGTGTGCTGGCATCGTTTACCTGCATCACCACTTGCTGCCATGGTAGTGGTTGGCTGGTGGGGGGGTTGGGAGGCAGATTGGCACGCTCTAGCTGTAGGTTGACGTTGCGACGCTCCTCCTCAAGGGCGCGGGTCAGCTGCTCGAAACGTGCCTCCTGCTCTTTCACTGAGGCCAGGATGCTGGCGGCTGAGCGAACATCATAATCCTCCATGTTCAGTGTCGGTCGCGGTTTTACAGATCTTCCAAGGGAAGAAAAGGGGGAGGAAGAGGGGGCACCAGGTCATTTAACACACCCAGACCCAAAAAAGGCTGGATGAGTGACATCAAATGGCTGACGCATCCCTCCAGATCAAAGTCAAAACAAACGGCTTGTTTGCTGGCCAAGACAGGATACACAAGCTTTAACAAACACCACCGTGACAGATGAAAATAGAACAATCAGGGTGGGTGACTGGATAAGGGAAACAGGGTTATAACACAAAGAGTGTATCTGTTACCGACAAATCTTTTTCACTCTGACCGTGCTTTCTCCAGCCAACACCCTGAAGGGACATGCTCAGATTCTCCTCATAAAGGGTGACTACAAAGTCTCTGATACTGCAGGCCAGCACAGCAAACACATTAATGAGGATGCACTGCAGGGTGCCAATTATGTGTTTGCTTTCAGAAGTTTGAGCCTTTCTTATAATTAAGACAATCCTGGCACCGAAGATAGCATTCACTGCAGATCTGCAAGAATATCAGGGATGAAAAATAAATACCTAATCCACCAATTCTAAAAATAACAAAGGGGATGCAACAGCACAGTGGAGACTCACAAAAGCAAAGATTTTTTTTGTGTTTGTTTGTTTTGTTTTCTTTCTGGATACGATCTCAGCCCTACAAATGAACAGTCATAGGCATAAGCGTGGAGGAACGGCGCTGTCATTGGATATAGTCATGCAGAGAGCCATAATGCATTTTGACACACAGGCGCTGTTACAGGCACAAATCCAACACATGCAAGATTCCCACAGCCACCCAAACGGACACCCAGGCCTGGTATCAGGCACACACGCACACGCCATCTATCATAAACAATCAGGATTTCCAAATAACATTAGCAGGCTACAGAGCACATCAATGGCACACACACACACACACACACACACACACACACACACACACACACACACACACACACAGCCCGATATTCATAACTGATGGTGGTGTGATATCGAGGGGGCTGACAGCACAATAACAAATGGGTGGTTGGACATACAAAACCCACAGTAATACAGACCTAGTAGATAAGCAGGCTGAGAGCTGTTAGAAAAGAGACATCCCTCTCTCAAAACAGAAGCAGAGGGATGAAACGGCAAAAGGAACAGAGAGCTGGGAGAGGGGAAGAGAAATGAAGGGAAGACAAAAGAGAAAATGGAAGAGATTAAAACAGAAGTGAAACATAGAAAACACCAAACGGCTCTTTTAACTACCTGACTTTGTAGTAAACTCAAAGGTAAAGAAACAAGTATTGGAGCATCATCACATTATTAAAGTTTGTCCACATTTTATTAAAAAATAAAAAATGCTTTTTATATTTAAAAAAAAGCTTCATTACTCAAAGTGTAGCTCCATTTTTTACAGCTAGAACATTAATCATGCAAAGTTGGCAGCTATCCCAGGGCCTCCAGATTCCCCTGTTCACTGGTGAAGGGTGATAATGTGATTAATTGAAAATGTATTGTTAGCGGGCAATAGCAACTGATAGAGAAAGTCTGTGGTGGGAGAAAAACACAGTTAAAAGAAGAAAAAATATTTAAAACATTCCAATTTTGCCAGAGTGGATTGCCCAATAAACAAAAATATAGATATTTTTCCAACAAACTGTCACGTTTTTAATGACCTGACATGTTAAGAAAATGTCATTTTTTTCCGTGTGCATCAGTAAAGACATTTGCATTCATTTACAAGTCATGATATGCTGTATACTGCATATTGGTTGACGTGGCAGACACTAGAAGGTTAAACAAGAAGGTTCTCTACAAAAATCAAAAGCTGACACTCAGTCAGCAGTTGCATTATATCAAAGCATTCTGGATATTTTCTAGCTGATCTTGTCTCGAGGAGGCGGTCTAGCTCAGCAGGGGTTCACCAATGCAGATGCAAGCATTTGAATCTTAAACAGCTTTGGATACCAAAACAGAATGTATGGCTTTCAAAGGGTGTGTACATGTGTGCATAAAAAGAGCCTTCTTTTACAATAGGATCCGGTGAGCACCAATAAGGGCCTTTGAAGCACACAATCCCTCTTTGAAGTTTCCTACATGCTGATCATTTATTTATTTGGAGTGGAGTCTGGCTCTTTCTTGCAATACTACCAAGGAGAATATGCTTCCAAAGTTAAACTCCACAACCATCTGAACAGAAGAAAATGTTTCATTTTCTGTTTACAGGAACAAAATCTCTCATTATAACTAGTATTCTAGTATTTTTAAATGAATTGTTCTTCCTAAAACATTTATGTCTGGTTTGAGTTTACGGTAATCAGCCGGTCAGGTTTCAAAATGGAAACAGGGCTGGGAAATGGAAAACTGCGCTCAAAAATAGCATCCTTGTCTGTTTTCAAAGTTATCCACTACTTGAGATAAGTGACAGAAATAGAGTCCCATAGGCCATGTTGATTGGGCATATTTGCGGACAGACTCTAATGATTCACACCCCTGGAGGGTTAGGGGGGCAATGTAATCATTGCTTCCTGAGTCATAAAGGGAATTATATGGCAGGCATGTCAGCTACGCCCCACAGCTTATCATTACACACCAACTTCTGGCCATACTTAAAATAGCCCAGAATGGTCAGGGAGGGGGCATCTGAAGAATTCCCCTCTTCCACCATGACAGCCCTCGTTTTTTATTTTTGGCTTTGGTTCAGCAGATGTTTGATAACGGCCTGGGTCAGAGGGGATGAAAACATAGCCATGTTCCTAATTACTCCCAAACTTTATGTGGTGGAAACATATCAAAATACAACTCCAGGGGTGTGGAGTGTCACTTGTGTGTGCCACTACATGAAGTTTATGTGTGGAAGGAATGAAAACTAATCAAAGAGATGATATTAAAAAAAAGGAAAGAAAAAAAAGAAAACTGTTTAATTAATTCCACAAAGAGAAGTGGGTTACATCTCACTACTCTTAAGGCGTAAACATCTTTAATTAAAAGGAAAACAAGCTCATATTCCATGTGCAGAGCTGACGCTTCACTTGCGCTGTTGCAAGGCTTTTCCTCAGCAGTGAACTCGCTTTAGCAAAAACTCACCGCTCTAAAAATAGCCCGGTAATAAATATATCCACACGGCCACATTTTTGAGTGTGGATTGGTAGATGAGAGGCAGCAGTCGCTCACTTCAAAGGCCTGCTGGAAAATCCTGTAATAAATCCCTGGCACTTTATTCATCAGGTCTGTTGGACTCCCCTAAAACAAATCTTCCAATGACAAGACCCTCTGCCATCAAACCCCTCTCTGTAGTAAACTGGCAGACATTTGAACTGATGTTATTCTCAAGAACAGCTTGAAAGGAGTGAGGCGCCAGCGGTCTGGTTATCTGCCTAAATTACACAAAGGCTCTGACCAGTGGAAAGGTGGAACGGCAAAGATTTGAGCTCTGTCCTTTCTTTTCCTCCTCTGGTGTAAAGCAGTGCTGTGTACAGACACACACCAGCAGTTTACCTCGTATCACCATCTGAAACAGCCAATGTGGAAACTTGCCAAGTGCATCTGTAAAAATAACCTGTTATTCCACTGAGGACTGGGTGTTAAACCCTTAATGCTTTGCAGCCGGGAGGTATTTTGGAAGTTTAAGGCGAGTCAAATGATGCGATATTAGTTTTTAGGATTTTTTCCAGTGTTTGATTTATCATGATCTAATTTTCAATCAAGATAAAACATAAAATATGGCATGCTAATGTGTGAGATTCAGGTTCACATCAGGTTAGTTTACAACAGAGCTATTATTGCCTTTTCCCAGTATTCATGCTAAGTGTGAATCTTTAAACTTCTTACATATTCCCCAAATATCCACTGTTTTCATTTTGACTTTGGTAAATTTTAAGAATCAGAGACCAAAGACTGACTGGATGTGTCGCTCCTGAGGAGGCCAACAAGAGCAGAAGCCTCATATCTTGAGGGAGTTGGCTAGGGGGTTATTAGGGAATTGGGGGAACAGATTGGGAGGTAGAGGATGAGGATAATTGAGTGTGACCATTGGTGCCCGATATTGAGTTAGGAACATTCACCTGATTAGGGACTAGGTGGGTGGTGCTGTTCCCCCAGTCCACCCCACCCCTTACTGCCAATTTACCCCTTCTAGAGGCAGCTCAAATTAATTCTTTGCCTAAACCCATCTGATGCACATCTGAGGATGCAGCTCACAGCGGCACAATTGGGTACTTAAAAACACCTGCTCCTCCTAGAGAGTGTGTGTGTGTGTGTGTGTGTGTGTGTGTGTGTGTGTGTGTGTGTGTGTGTGTGTGTGTGTGTGCGCAGTCTTTAATCTCTTTCCGCTGTTGACGTTTCATATAGTCAGAAGACAAATTGGAAATATTAGTAGAATTGCTCCACCTTAAAGTGTCATCGCAGAGCCAGCAATTTCAGCCATTTAAGAGATTTTTTTACCCTTTGCTAAGAAGTCCAATACGTCAAAGCTCTCATGGAGTGTGACTGACAGCTAAGTGATTCATTATAATGACAGACACTTAGCTGCTGTGTTGGATATTTTTGCTCAGCCACAGGAAACCTTTATAAGCTGCTCAAGAGCTACTCAAGAACATGAAAGTCAGCTTGAAGTGGGACTTGCAGGCCGTTGCAGATACTATAGTGATGAAGTGATAGTTTATAGTTTCTTTTTGTCTTTGAAAAAATGACACAGGATTCATCAAACACTTGTAAAAAAAGCATTTTTTTAAGTGAATTGCTATTTAATACATGTTACTGAAAGATGATTGCCATTTCCAGTACATATCCGATATGCAAAGATGCTCTGAACACTTCCAACAGAGATGCAACAGGAAATAAAAGAAAGAAATGCACGGTCACCGGGACTGATCCTCCCTCTGATTTAGTATTCCTGTTGCATTTCTTTGAGGAACATTAAAGTGAGTGCTAATGCCCACAGGAGCATTGTTGAGTGACACCAGGATAAGCAAAGCTTAGCGAGGTGTGGGCTCCATAACTAAACATTTTCACAGCTAGAAGAAAAGAAATTCAGTTGGTGTTTACCTGTCCTGTATAATGTGGAAAATCTTATGCAAGTACTTCATATTACATACAAAGTAACCTCATGGTGAAGAGAAAGTACACCCCTTTACAAAATATGGCAAATAAAACCTGAGACAAGCTCCAAAACATGACATATACTAAAATGCAGAAGCAGTCTTAAGAAACTAAGCAGACGATTACTGCTTATATAGGATTTAAGAGAGTAAGTAGCAAGTGTGAGCGCCTCAGAAAAAGCAGAGGTTTTACCAGTTTGCTGGTTTGGGCATTCAGGTGTGTGTTAACACAATGCCAAGCAGGAAAGACATCAGCAATGATCTTAGAGTTTGCTGCTGACAGGGAAAGGTTATAAGGCTGTTTCCAAAAGATTCCACGATTCTACAGTGAGACAGAAAAGAGTCATGAATATATGGCAGGAGGGCGAGCAGAGGCTTTCTATGACAGAGGAGGATGCTAGAGACAGGATCAAAGTGAGGCAGATGAGCCGCTGCGGTGTCCAAAAGTGAGCAGCCAAAAGAAATAGAAGGCTGTACAGTGAGAAAAATTATTCACATGTGAAAAACATTCAAAACAGCTACCTATCTTCCTAGGAGTGGATGTCCAAGCAAATTCATCCAAAGGTCAGCGCATGCAATACTTAAAAAAAATCTAAGAGCTATACCTCACAGTTAACAGTTAGCTTCAGTTAAATGTTAAAGTTCATAATATTACAATTGGAACGAGACTGAATAAATGTGGCTTGTTTGTAAGAGTTTTTAGGAGAAAGTCTTGTCTTTCTGATTAAAAAAAAAGAGCATGGTAGCACTGTTTAGCCTGGCCAAGTGGCTCTTCATCTGTCCAGAGAAGTTTGGTCATAAAGCAAAGTGCTACATTTGGTAAAACACTGGAAAAACCCCTCATATCACCTGTCAAGCATGGTAGTGGTAGCGTTTCCGCAGGTCCTTCCCCCCTGCAGCTGTTTGTACAATCAGAACTGCTCCCAACAAACATAGATGTTTACATCTGCGCTGCAACTGCAATAAGTTAATTAACCGATTCGCACTACAACCTGGTTTGCCTCTTATCTGTAGTTATTTTTATTTAATTTAATAACTGTACAGTACTCTCTGTATATAGTAACCATTGTCCTTAATGTAAATATGTAAGAAAAATTGTGTATGTTTCTGTTCTGTGTCCTGTTTGTTTGTATATGTGTCTTTTTGGCTGCTGTTACAACCAAATTTCCCCTTGTGGGACAATTAAAGGATTATTCTATTCTATTCTCTATTTGGACTTGTTTTGTCATGAACTCTTCTTTATCCCAAAGTATTGTAGAGTCAGCTTTCCAAACACTGCTTCTGCATTATTGTTAAATAAATACACAAGACTTAATAAATAATAAAATAAACAATGTCACCTCAAGTTGTTACATCATTTTAAGACCTGGTAAATTCTAGAGAATCTTTTATTATTCCCTGATATATAAAACTTTGGAATTGACAGAGGGTGTACTTTTCTTTTTACCGTGATGTAGATACAATATGCAATATAACTTAAATGCCACATTCATTTGAACTGTAAGCCCAGTAGGCTGCCATTACTTTGTTTGCTGTGTTGTTATAAAGCTATATAAAAATGCCAGTGCACTCAAAGACCTCATGAATGTTAAGCACAGTCACTGTGATGCAAGTAGATTTTATGCTATGATTGATCCAGAGGGACTAGATCCTCTTAAACATTATGTGTTTGTGGTTAGCAAGATACTGGCATTAGTAAGTCAGCTAGACTCTGATAACACCCTAACTAAATTAACTGGGAGTCTGTTGAATAAGATTGTGTAACATAGTCTACAGGTTTTGATATGGTGACCCGAGCTCAGGTAGATAAGCCACAGCAAGGCATCAGAGAAACTGGATTAAAGCCCAGGTCTTAATTTAATCACAGCAGGCACTGATTCATTCATAATTACAATGCATTCTTTTCTGATGATCAAGATATTTGATATTTGCTCTTTTAAAAGCTTCGGACGAAGCAATGAACTTAATTATTTCCACCACATCAATGTGGAACTTAACTGAGACTTGAGAATTGCTTTTGTCTTGCAATTATATATGACTGACTCACACCTCAAATACTCAATTACACAGTTTGTTTTTAGAAGCTGGACCAGAACGACGTCATCTCCCGTTCACCTCTAAAACACACTACAGTCTGTGCAGAGAGCTAACATTGCTTTTCTACTGACATTTACCACCAGTGATTTAACTGTGTGGATCGCTGAAATAAGAGCACAGTTACTGGAGAGAAAACGCCTCTCAATGTATTGACATAAAAAGCACATAAGGCACCTGAGCGACAAAGCCAATTGAAAGGAAGCTCCTTCGAGGCGCGATAACAGAGAAAGCAAAGTCTCGGATTTGCAAGACAAGGGGGAAAAAAATCAGGAAATGCAATTACAGCAATGATGAACTGAACAAAGTGATTAAAGGAAGCAGGAGGTGTAGAGAGAAAGGGGGGCTTACCTTTGATGTTGGTGAGTGCCGTCAGACCACAAGTAGACTGAAGAGAGGCGTAGCTCTGTTGGAGTCAACTCGTTTGTTCAGTCTGCCAGGGAAGATCTGTGGATTAAACACAACATGAAAAATTAAAGCTGCAAGTAGGACTAATTGGGCCCTTGCACTACATGCCGGGGCTAGCCGCAGTCGAGAAGCTTTATTGTGACATGTAGATGTCAGGAGATGTTGCATAAAGGAGTTTCAATTGCTCTGTAAACTAAAGGGACATGAGAACACCACATAAGGTTACGTGTGTTATTTGTTGGAGCAGCGTGGGATTTTAGTCATCAAACTGTTTAAATTAATTTTTTAAAATGTGCTGCGTTGTTGTGGGGACTAAGGCAATCCAAGATGGATGTTTTGTAAGTTTTGGAATGATGCACACGCTTACTAAATTATCCAAATCATGTCTTTAAAATGTACTGTGGGCCAACAGCTGCTATCTATTTTGACACAACCATGAACCAAAAAAATTTGAGTAACAGGTCACAAAATGTTGAGAAAAATCAATACAAATAAAAAAGATGCTGACACTGCATAGTCGATATGTATTAGTATGCAAATTCCTGCACAACCACATTTTTTTCTAGGTAAATGGGAAGTTAGTGCAATGAGTTATTGAAACGTGCATACATAAATGGGAAGTCACTCTTAAACTCCTTTTAAGAGCCCTTCATAGTTCTCCAGCGCTTGTGAAGGACATTCAAAGCTCTTCTATGGACATTGACTTCATTTTGTTGTGTTCTCTGTCAAGATGACCCTACACTGCTTTAGTAACATTGAGGTCTGGACTCTGGGGAGGCCAGTCCACGACTGACTGTGCTCCACTCTGTGTTTTTCTATCTATGTAGGCTTTTACTGCAGTGACTATGTGTTTGAAATCATTGCCATGCTGGTGGATCAAAATCCGACCGTACTTTTCTGCGTTCATAATTACATCAATTTTAATAAGATCCCCAACGACACTGACTGAAATATAGCCCCAAACCATGACAGGGCCTCAGCCGTGGTTCAGAGATGGCTGTAGACACTCACCTCTCTCCTCACATGCTCCATATGTACTGACAGTTATTCATAACCAATTTGGAATCAATCCATTAGACCTGTTGATCAGTCCAGATCAGATTCATGACAGCCACCTTTCCACTGAGACCATTTCTGATCGAGGCTTCAGCAAACAGTAGATGGATCAGCTAAAGATGCATGTTGTTATCCAGTTTCCACAAATTTAAGGACATACTGCCCATGATGCCAAAATACGCCACATTTTAACTAATAGTTTTCATGTTTTTGGCTAATCACTTTGTTGGTGAAAAAACATTCCCCTAAAAATGGTCCCCAATGCCAGTGTCCCCCTCAAAAAACCTTCTGAGAATCTTCAGAAAGCCTGAAGAACTTCTGCTCAAGACCCTTTAAAAAGTGACAAGGAAATCTGGCTACTTCTTAAATCTGTCATAGAGCTGTTATTCAAAGACATATAAAGCACAATCCTTGGAGATGCTGTCATGCTTCTTTCAAGTTAAACTCACTTTTAACTTGTACTGTACCACAAGGTTAAATTTTAGATCCACTAGACCTTTCTGTGCGTTTCCATCGAATATGGACAAATATAACTTTCATTTTTTAAAGTTCATAGTTGGTTTTTTGAGGAACTTGTGCTCTACTTATTTTTTTTTAGACAGACATTTTCTTTTTCTGTTCATATCAGTAGGTAGAAAACATGCTGATATTTTTCCAGACGCTAATATTCTCCCAGAAAGACCCCTAGAAAAAAAAACTGTGCCTGCTGATTTATTCCTAAATAAATACAGGAGACCGACAGAACTCTGACGAATATGTTATTCTTAATAATTAGGGAACACACTCTCTACTTTCAACCAACCAATATGTCAAGCTGACCTTAATATTCACACTGTAACGCCTCCGAAATATAGACATCACAGACAGAAAGAAAGAAAAAAGGCCAGTGTCCAATACTGCAGTGCAAATTGGTTTTGATGCTTCATACCATGGGATGAATCATTCTGCCATTCACGTAAACCTGTCCAGAGGCTCTTCTTCCTTTGATGGCCGAGAAAACAAAAGCCTGGCAGCAAAACCGCTTGATTGACTAGACTCTTGAAGATGTCACTGATGATGAAATCAAACACAAGCGTATAAACACTTCCTTGCAGGCCAACTTTCATTTCAGGGCTATGGTTTTAGTAGGATGTAACGGTTCCTTAAAAATTGCCTCATATCCAGAAACACTGCACTCAATAAACACAGTTCCTAAATTGAGTTCATCAGTAGTTCACCTAAAATATTAAATAGTAGCTCGGCACAGATACAACTGGGATTCTGACAGATTTTTGATTTAAAAAAAAAAAACAGATTTCAAAAGAGTTACTTGTCTGTGAAGTAGATGAAGCGTGAGAGAAGGAAAAAATTGTCCCACATCACCTGAATTTTAAAGACTTCTTTTTTGGACAATTTAGCAAATATAACCACCTAAAGTCTGCATGAACTTGTGGTCATCTGCTACATAAACCACTGCGCTCGCCATGTTAAGTATTTCCAGATGCCGCTCTAACTCCAGGCCAAATATGCATCGTGAGTAGTGATGGCACGCAATGTTTCATTAACTATGATGGGGGGGGGGAGTAAACTTTCCTCCCTAGGTTTTAGTTTTTTCAATGATTAGAATATCTTCCTCCTCTCCAGGGATTCCTGGGTGTGTTCACTTCAAGGACAGATAGGCTCTGAGCACCTTGGATTGCTGGTACAAACATCAAAAGCGAAGCTAAACCCGGCCGCATTAGTTCTCACCTTGTTGCTATCTCTCTCTCTCTCTCTTTCTGTGTCTCGTCGGATTCTAGAGGAGGCCTTACATCGCTCTTGAATCGAGATTATGTCAACACACAGTCACGGCTCAGAGTTTCCTTTTGATTCATACGCATTTGATTCTATTTAAAATGATGCAATGCTCTTGTAAGTGGCAGGCCAGCGGAACAACGAGCCAGTTTGGGAATGAAAAGATCAACAGTCATTTGTGATGAATGAATGAATGACACTCCTGTCTCATCCTAGCTAATGGTGCTTACCTCCCACACAATTCTTTGGAGCTGACCAGAGGTTATCAGTGGGAGACTGTGACTATTCACTTGGCAGTCAAAGATTCCTGTAGCTAAAGAGGTGTTGGTAAATTGCCAATTCGAACATATTGCTCAAGCTTCGGAGGTCATAATGCTTCAACGTCCATCACTGGGCAGCACGGAGGAATACGAGTGGACAAGAACACATTTTTGTAAGCTAGTAGGTTCAACAAAGTTTTCTGCGTGGGCAAATCACTGCATGCCTCAAGCTGATTTTTATACACACAATATCCCCAGCCAATCAGATTTTATTTACACTGCTCTTGGTTCTGTGAATCGCGCTCACAGTCTTCGCCGTTGCCCCTGACGCCGCCACCATCATTTGACAGTAATAAGTGCAGAAATCTCATGCAATATTCGTGCTTCATATCAGCGCCTGATACCTCGCCTGCTGTGTATTATGCAGACAATTGCATATTCTATCACGACTTGTCCCCCTTCAACCCACAGAGCGCCCCAGTGTAATTCTGTGATTAATAATGAATGCTGAGTGAGGGTTAGCTAGCGAGCTGACTGACTGACTGACTGAAGGTCTGACTGTCTGGGGAATGCTACAATGATCAAGGCCTTTCTTCAGCTGTCAGCGCCTCTTTGCACTCGAACAGAACTGGAGGTGCATACGAAGGTTACTTGTGATTGCATCTGTGCAATCTGACTAATTGTTTGGGCAAATATGTAAATGCAACGTGAAACGTAAATGCTAAAATATAAACTGAAGAGGATTAATATGCATTGGGGTTACGGTCCAACACAATATATATATAACTTAAATTATAAAACAGGTTGTTGGAGATTAAGGTACAAAACCTCATGCATTTTACGATAATGATTCAGAAGACAGCATGCTGTATTGCTAGGATGTTGTTTGGCGTGTTTTAACAGCATTATAGCATTTTACAACACATAGATACACCAGCTGAGATATATTCTGGAGTAGGGCTGAGCGATATATCGAGTTTTTAAAAAATATCGATATATTTTTATACGAGATATAAGGTGTGACAATATCCTTTATATCGATATAGTCTATGTTACGTTATAATTATACTTGTGGAGCTAGGGTTGCCAACTCCCTGAAAAATAAATAAGGGACACCTCGTGGCCAGGGCCGGGCGACCCAGTTGTCTTCACCCTTCCCAGTGTGGTGAATTTTCTAGCTCTTTTTTTGTGTGTGAAATTATTTTTTTAACCATTTGACTTGAATTTGATTTAAGCAGATGTGTATTCTTTGTGATATGAACACATGTGAAACAAATGATCATTTAGCCATTTATTTTTAGCTCAAAATGACAACATTAACACAATAAAACAGGTCTCTTTCTTAAACAGAAGCCTGTCATGCTTAACTTTTGAGAATATAAGTAAATCTTTCTTTAAAAGAACTCTGTCCTGCTTAACTTAAAATAATAGAAAACAATAGAAAGAAAAATATTCTTGTAACAGTGCACATTTAGTGCATTTAGTACAATTGGCTTCAGCTGAGGTATTAATGCTAATCAGCTGCTCCTGTTTGTAAACCCGCTTGTTCCCATGATTACGCATCATAACTCATCATCATTATTCATCTATGTATTACTTTTATGTATTAGTCATCTATTTGTTGTAATCATCTATCCTTGCAGTTGTTTATTACACAAAATAAAGTTATATTATCACACTTCTGGCCACATAGCGCTGATATTCACTGCACATGCCCATATTAACTTTTTCCAGCCAGGTGTTTTCCTTTTCCCATTCTTCCCTTTCTCTGAGGGGAACAAACATTATGCTGGGCAGACACTGTGCGGTTTTAGGCCCATTTTGAGCCGATTTTTGAGTGATCGGACCGATTTTGGCCTTCATCGTGCGTCGTGTAGTATACGTGGGGTAACGAGAAGTGATTAACACCTCACGACCAGCTCCCGATCATCAATCGCTCGTGAGCCGCTC